CAAAAAGAAAAAAGCCGGAAGTGGCGCTGTGGCTCAAGTGGTAGAGCGCTAGCCTTGAGCTGAAGAGCTGAGGGACAGCGCCCAGGCCCAGAGTTCAGGTCCCACGGAACCAAAAAAAAAATAGAAACAAAGTTTCTAATCTAAGTTAGAATTGCAGACTAATTTGTTGAGTCAAGTAACAGAATTCAAGGGAGTATAATAATCACATTAAAATTTTTTCAGCAGGGCACCAGTGGGTCACACCTATAATCCTAACAACTCAGAATACTGAGATCTGAGGATCTCAGTTTCAAGCCAGTCAGGGAAGAGAAAGTCGATGAGATTCTTTATGTCCAATTAACTAGCAAAAAGCCAAAGTGGAGGGATAGTAGCGTCCCAGCCTTGAGAGAAAAAGCTAAGGAACAGAGTTCAAGTCCTAGTACTAGCAAAAAAAAAAAAAAACACTCTGCAAATAATCACACTGAAATCACATCACATAAAATAATCACATGAAATATGAAGTTAAAGGCAATATTTTGTTTATGAATTATACTCACTGATCTGAATTTGCAGCCAGCTTATTATGTTCATGAATTGTTTCCTGGACACAGTCTTCAAGCATTCGTACATGACTATCACTATGGAATGAAAAAGTGGAGCAAAACTAAAACAATTATTCAGCTGTTTGTTGGTAAGAGCATGTCAAATCATTTCAGTAAAGGTATATTTTTCTCACTTACAATAACAAGCTAGATAAAAAACTACTAAGGGGCTGGGAAGGTGGCTCAGTGGTAGAGTGCTTGCCTCGCATGCATGAGGCCCTCAGCACCACATAAGCAGAAAAAGCCAAAAATGGTGCTGTGGCTCAAGTGGTAGAGCGCCTGCCACAAGCTGAAGAGCTCAGGGACAGCTCCCAAGCCAAGTTCAGGCCCCATGACCGACCAAAAAAAAAAAAAAAATACTAGTAAGAAAAAATTAGCCAAATCAATTTTCATTATGATTATCTAAACCAGTTTTCACGTAGGTGGGTCTTTTTTTAATTTAGAATTGAACAGACATAGACTCAATACAAGGGGAAAAATTACACTGGCCACTTTCAATATGCTTATATGATTTCATGCTGATCCTGATTTTTACACAGAATCCACAATAGAAATTAGAATTCCCCCAGTGAAAGCATGGCTGCAATTCATATATACCCCACCTTTTTGCATTAGTAATGCAGATTATTCGTCCTCTATTCCCAACACGTTCTGCATTCTCCATGAGTAAAGTACGAGCCTCATGTTGGTATTCAGTAATTTTGCAAAGGGTCTCCACTGCAGCCACAAGACCATGCAGAATACTGCAGCACTCTGGGTCCGCACGAGGGTTAGGAGGACCGACGGCTGCTAATGATGCCATAAGCTACAAACAAGGAGAAATGATGGTGACAAAGAGACAAAAACACCAGAAGAAAACTGCAAACCCATGTTTCTAAAAAATATTCTTAACAAAATACTAGTAAAACTCAGTGACACACAAAAGAATTATACAGCATCATCGAGGAAGACTTACCTCAAGAATATAAAGTTGACTTGATATAAAAAAATTCATATAAGATACCATATCAACAGAATAAAAAACAAAAGTCATGTAATCACCTCCATAAACACAGAAATAGGCACTTAACAAAATCCAAGTTAAAAATATACACAGATAAAAAAATTCAGTAAACTAGGAATAGACGAAAACCTTAAATAGATAAAGGATACTAAAGAAAACCCCACAGGGCCAGGCACTGGTAGTTCACACCTATAATCCTATCAGTAGCTGAGATCTGAAGATTGCACAGTTCAAAGCCAACCCAGACAGAAAAGTCTGTGAGACTCTTAACCCAATAAACCACTCAGAAAAAGCTGGAAGTGGTGCTATGGCTCAAGCAGTAGAGCACTAGCCTTGAACAAAAGAAGCTCAGAAGCTGGGTGCTGGTGGTTCATGCCTATAATTGTAGCTACTCAGGAGGCTGAGATCTGGACAACAGTTCAAAGCCAGCCCAGGCTTTGAGTCTGTGAATCTCTTATGTCAAAATAAAAACAGAAACAAAAACCCACCAGAAAATGGGAAGCAGTGCTGTGGCTCAAAGTGGTAGAGTGATAGCCTTGAGCAAAAAACCTTGGAGACAGCCTACAGACCTTGAGTTCAAGCCCTACAACCAACAACAACAACAGAATAAAATAAAGGGGCAATGCCTAGGTCCAGGACTATTAAAAACAAAAAACACCCACTATAATATTTAGAACCAAAAAGTCAGTCACAAGTTGACAGTTCTTCAAAATGTTAAATACAGGTTACCAAAATTTCAACATTTCTTCGTTTATATCCAAAGAAAATGAAAACATAATTTTCATACACAAATAGGATGCCTATAGTAATATTATACATAACAGCCAGAAGGTGAATCTAAATGTCATTAACTGACAGGGAGATACACAAAATGTGGAGGAGCTAATGTAAGAGAAGTCATAAGAAGGTCTGAAATACTTACTGTTGCATACTACAACATAGGTGAACCTTGAGGATACTATGAATGCCAAATCAAAGGCAGTTACAAAAGACCATATATTGTATGATTCCATTATATGAAATGACTAAAACAGAGAACTATGTTCTGTTCTAGAAAATAGACTAGGCATGTCTTGTCTGATGAAGGAGTGGGGGGAGACAAGGGATAATAGCTAAAGTATATGGAAAATTTTTCAGGTGAAGATATATTGTAAAATTGACTCTAGTCATCACCATACACATTCGTGAATATATTTTTAATGATAACTGTAGATTTTAAGTAGGGGAAATGCATGGTATGTGAATTATTCTCAATCAAGCTATTTTGAATATGTGTGCTGGGTAGACTATCTGTCCGTAGTCCCAGCTAATGGGGAGGGTAAGATGGGAGGATCACTTGAGCTGGAGAGTTCAAGGCCAGCCTGAGCAAGGTAATAAGAGTTTGTCAAAAAAGGAGAAATACAAGAGGAAAGGAAGGAAAGGAGGGCTGGGAAGGTGGCTCAGTGGTAGAGCACTTGCCTTGCATGCTCAAGGCCCTGGGTTCGATTCCTCAGCACCACATAAGTAAAAAAAGCCGGAAGTGGCGCTGTGGCTCAAGTGGTAGAGCGCTATCCTTGAGCTGAAGAGCTGAGGGACAGCGCCCAGGCCCAGAGTTCAGGCCCCATGACCGGACCCAAAAAAAAAAAAAAAAAAGGAAAGAAAGGAAATGTAGGAATCCAGTTTTTCATTTTTTGGTAATTCCCACCCCAGTCCTGAATCTCTAGCCTCCAGCTATGTGGGCAGAATGCTGTCCACCTGGTCCTGACTATCCTTCGAGGAGCTGAAGAATATCCCCCAAGTGATCTTTGAGCTTCTGTAAACCACCACCTGAGTGTGGTTCTGTCCTTTATAACCCTGTCCCATTAGAGGTCGCTGCTGCTCTTGGTTCTGAGGTATCCCAGGACAAGGCAATCACTGGCCAGCTAAATAAAACTCCTTCATCACCTTTAATAGATGCCTCTGTGGATTTCCTCAACTCTGGAGGTCATTACAGAAGAAGAGGAGGGAGGAGAGATGGAAAGCAAAAGGGCTGGGGAGAGGGGAAGGGAGGGAGGGGGAGAGGGAGAGAGGGAAAGAGAGGGAGGGAGGGAAAGAGAGGGAGGGAGGGAGGGAGAGGGAGAGAAAGGGAGAGAGGCAAGGGAGGGAGAGTGAGAGAGGGAAGAAGAGAAAGAGAGGGAGAGGAAGAGGGAGAGGGAGAGGAAGAGGGAGAGGAAGAGGAAAGGAGGATAGGATAAGGGGAGAAAAAAGAAAGGAGGGGAAGAGAGGAGGGGAAGGGAGGGAAGTGGGGGAGAAGAGGGGAAGGGAAGGGGAAGGGAAGGGAGAATTGTGCTTTATAAGCTATAAAGGCTATAATAGGGGCTGGGAATGTGGCTTAGTGGTAGAGTGCTTGCCTAACATGCATGCAACCCTGGGTAAATCAATTCCTCAGTACCACATAAACAGAAAAAGTCAGAAATGGCACAAGGCTCAAGTGGTAGAGTACTAGCCTTGAGCAAAAGAAGCTCAGGGGCCAGGAGCTGATGGCTCACGCCTATAATCCTAGCTATTCAGGAGACTGAGATCTAAGGATCATGGTTGTAAGCCAGCCCCAGCAGGAAAGTCTGTGAGACTCATATCCAATAAACCACCAGAAAACTGGAAGTGGCACTGTGGCTGAAGTGGTAGAGCACTAGCCTTGAGCTGAGGAGCTGAGGAACAGTCCCAGGCTCAGAGTTCAAGCCCCACAATCGACAAAAAAAAAAAAGAAGTTCAGGCACAGTGCCCAAGGCAAGTTCAAGCCCCATGACTGGCTATAATATGCAGGGTGCCATAGCTCATACTTATAATCCTAAGGAGGCTGGAAATATAATATAGTAATTAATATGCATACACACATATTTTAAGGTAGAAGAAAGGATTTTAAATGTTTTCATAATAAAGGAATTAAAATATTTGAGGACAAATGCAAAGCCAAGCCATTAAAATAATTTTTGAGTGACTGCCCTTAAAAAAATAAAAGGTGCCGGACTCCTGTGGCTTATGCCTGGTAGAGTGCTAGCCTTGAGCTGAAGAGCTGAGGGACAGTGCCCAGGCCCATTGTTCAAGACCCACAACCAACATAAAAAAAAAAAAAAAAGAACAAGAACTGTTTTTTACTTATACTTGTTATAACAATTTTATCATTTTGGAGACACCAAGCTTTAAATTTAGGGCCTCCACACATTCTAGCACTTAAGCCACACCTCTAGCACTTTTTACTTTAGTTTATTTTTCAGGAAGGGTCTTAATTTGAACTGGGATATACCCTCCTACCTATGCTTACACACACAGCTGAGATTACAGGCATGTAGAATCACTCCTAGTGCTGATATATAACAATACATAAGGAAAAGGCATTATGAGTAGGGGAAAACATAAAAAAAAAATCTTAAGAAATATTACTAATAAATAAGGTTTAAATTGACAATTCAATAAATAAGAGTAAATCATAGTTTAGGAATTATATTAAATATGGAAGTAAATATTAGAAACTAGAATTGTAGATCAGAGGGAGACTGGAATGGAATTAACTAGATTTTGTAATGTAATTTTGGATTGTAAAACTATGTGCAACTAAATCATGAATTAAAAAATAAAATCTTTAAAAAGTACCACTATTGGGGGGGGGGGAAGTAGAAGAAAAATGAGAAGGGATAATGGTGTTTGGCAAGAAATGTACTCATTACCTTATGTATGTAACTGTAACCCCTGTTTATCACCTTGACAATAAAATTTAAATTTAAAACAAGTATCACTATTTTTAAATAATTCTTAAAAATAGCCATAAATCAAAATGTATCATACCTCTTGTAAATTTTGGTCCTCTTGAGTCCAAGAATTTAAAACATGTGCTCCAGAATCACTCACAATGAAATTCACCTAATAGATGTCAAAGAAAAAGTATTCAATTCTAATTATACTCAAGCATCATCACATTTTACATTAATATGTAATTTCTAACACTGATTCATTGATTCATTCATTTGCATGCCAGGTGCTATTCTGGTACTGATTATGGGAACAGAGTAATAAATAAAACAGCACTATCACAATGTGGGGGAAGTCTGGAGAGGACAATAAGGTTAGAAAAAAAAAAGAACAATAACACACTATAAGAGTAAAAACAAATAGTTGGGCACTGGTGGCTCACACCTGTAATCCTACCTACTCAGGAAGCTGAGATCTGAGGATCACAGTTCCAAGCCAACCCAGGCAAGAAAGACAGTAAGACTCATCTCTATTTTTTTTGTTTGTTTGTTTGTCATGGGGGCTGAACTCTGGCCCTGGGCGCTGTCCCTTAGCTCTTCAGTTCAAGACTAGAGCTCTACCAAAATTGAGCCACAGCACCATTTCCGGCTTTTTCTGCTTATGTGGTGCTGAGGAACTGAACAAACCCATGCATGCAAGGCAAGCACTCTACCACTGAGCCACCTTTCCAGTCCTAGATTAACCTCTAAATAACCAGTAAAAAATTGGAAATGGGGACTGGAAGGTGGCTCAGTGGTAGAGTGCTTACCTCACATGCATGAGGCCCTGGGTTCGATTCCTCAGCACCACATAAGCAGAAAAAGCTGGAAGTGGTGTGGTGGCTCAAGTGGTAAAGCACTAGCCTTGCGCTGAAGAGCTCAGGGACAGTGCCCAGGTCCCCATGACCAACAACAAAAAAAATTGGAAATGGGCCTGTGGCTCAAGTGGTAGAGTGACAGCCATCGGTGGAAAAAGCTAAGGGATAGTACCCAAGCCCTAAATTCAAGCCCCACACTGGCACACATACACAAAAAAATTATTTTCAAATATAGCAAAAACAAATGTAAAAGCCTCTACATGTCCTTTCAAAAGGGCAAAAATCAGAGCAAGCAAAGAAGTAGGAGAAAAGTTTAAAGAAATGAGTAGCAAACATATCTACAGAGCACTGGAAGTCAAATAGTGGACATATACTATTCTGATTGTTATAGTAAAATGTAAATTTTGAAAATGTTATCAAGAGATATCTTGGGTGTTATCTTCAGCACAGAAAAAAAGAAAGGAAGGAAGGAAGGAAGGAAGGAAGGAAGGAAGGAAGGAAGGATCTGATAAGCCAAGCACTGGTGACTCATATTTTTAATTCTAGCTACTCAGGAAGGTAAGATCTGAAGATTGCAGTTCTAAATTAGCCACCCCGCCTAGAAAAATTCCCATGAGACTCTTACTTGCAATTAACTACTCAGAAACTGGAAGTGGTACTGTGGCTCAAAGTGGTAGAGCACTAGCCTTGAGCAAAAAGAGCTCAGGGACAGTGCCCAGGCCCTGAGTTCAAACCTCATGACTAAGCAGGGGGGGGGACCCAAACAACAACTATCTGCTTAAGATGGCAATAATGATAAGGAATGTATTCTGAAACATACTGAATGATTTACAGAAGGATGGATTTTTTTCTTTTCTTGGGATAATCTAACTCTAGTCTATAATCTTTTTTCCTAATATCCATAAAATACTAGTTTTCCCACCTCAAGTCCTCTGTCCTAAACCTTATCTGACAAGGATATATTTATTTTGTTCAAGACTGGCATTTGAGTCACTTTTCACTTCTGGTTTTCTGATGGTTAACTGGAGATAACCAGCAGGCTTTGAACCATGAGACTCAAGTAAGTAGTCAGGATTATAGGCATGAGCCGTTGGAGCCCAGCCTGGGGATTTAATAGCCACTGTATTTAGACTGTCTCAATTAAATCTAGTAACAAGGAAGTAGGTTTTAGGCTTACATGGGAGAAAAACTGGGGATTAGAGAGCTGAAGAAATAGAACCCAGGTCACACTGCTGAGCTAAAAATGCCAGAATTCAAACCCAAACCTATGTCTTCAAATCACAATGTTAATCATGTCCCTCCTCTATTCCTTTTCTTCCCTATTTCTCCTCCCCTCCTTTGTCTCCCTCCCTCCCCCTCCATCTGTCTTCTTATATTTTAACTTGGAATATATCTGAATATATAATATTGAACTGTATGTTCACCAGTGCTGTTCCTACTCTATATTTGACATTCTAGAACTGTCTAGGTCAAAGCCTAGGCTACTGGAAAACAAAACAAAAAGCCTATCATCTACTTGTGGCAAATACAGTAAATTTCCACAACCAAAACATGTGAGATATTAAAACCCAAAGATAACTTCATGCCTGGAATTTCTAGCAGTTATCATAAGAGTTCTCTTACTGGTCAAAAAACTCCTCCTACTTAACATCTTTTGGGGGAGGGGGGTGGAAATCCAAGCTGTCTATACTGACCCAAACCCAGCCCTCACGTAGCATCTTAAACTCATTGCTAACACTGCAAAATACTAACATAGTTAAGTATTTATACTCACTAAAATTAGAAGCAGCAAGCCTACTTAGGTTCAGATTTGCTTCTGTTTACAACTATACAACTCAAAACAAGTTTCTTCTCTTCACTTCAATCTGTATCAACAATGACAGGAACAAACAAGACTAACATTCAGCTGGCACACATCAGCACAACCCATCAAACTGCTTATTGCCAACATTCATTCCTTCTGCATGGGTGACAAAGCCTGTTTCATAGTTTCATACATGCTTTGACAATTTCCCTAATACCCTATTATGTCCCAACATAGCCTTAATTCAAACAGTTCTATGAAACTGTTAGAATTAGAAGAGCTCATAAATGTAAACATGTCTGGTATGTGGAAATAAGTGCTCAATGATTACTGGTGTCATTATTACTGGCCCCAATTATATACCAATAATATAATAATTCCAAAGGGCAGTTAAGTTCTTAGAGGTGTGTGTGTACACGTGCTCGCGCATGCACATAAGCACATTAGTACTAAGGCTTGAATTCAGGGCTGGGCAATCTCCCTTTTCTTTTTCATTCAAGGCTAGCATTTAAATAACAGCTCTACTTCCAGCTTTATGCAGGAAATTAAAGAGAAGACTGTCACAAACTTTCTAACCTGGGCTGGCTTTTAACTGTGATCCACAAATCTCAGTCTCCTAAGTAAGCTAGTATTATAGATGCAGGCCATCAGCACCCAGCTTTCTTAGGTATTTTTAAATAAAATTTTAAGTGAACTCTACAGCAACTTCAGGTAAATTTACATAAAGTACATTCTCCCCCAATATCATAATTGTTTGTAATTCATACTCACCAACTTTTTGAAAGGAAATATATCATACATTATTCTACAATACTCCATGGAAGATTCTACTGAACAAGTCCACAATGATTTAGAGATAGGGGCCAAAGGAATGATTCCTTGGGTTCTATTCTTCACCAGCATGTCAAATTCAACATGCTGTCTGCATGATTCTGCCATGTAAGGACAGTGATCCACAACAAAGACAGTTTTATGAGACTCCGAAAAAATCTTCATTTTTAGTCTGTATGAGAGAAAACATACTAGTTGATATGTAACATTTAGTACCTTAAATTATCCTAATCAATGTGCCTTTTCCTCAAGAAAATCTGATGATAGGGAACATGAACAATATGTTAAAGGAAGTTGACCAACAGTGTACGTTTCGTTTTGTTTGGTACTAGGGTTTGAAGTTAGGGCCTTGCACTCCTGCTTGGCTTTTTCCCCTCAAGGCTGGTGCTCTACCACTTAAGCCAAATTTTCACTTCTAGCTTTTTGCTTGTTAATGAAAGTAAGAGTCTCATGGACTTTCCTGCTTGGGCTGGCTTTAAACCACGATCCTCATTTTTCAACCTACTGAGTAGTGAGGATTACAGGAAGTCACCTACACCAAGCAGTATAAAGTTTATGCAAATGTCTCAATTCAAAGGATGAACTATACCACATTAAACTGCCACTTTACCAGGCACAAGCAAAATTAGTTCATACTTTTTCTTTTTGAAAAAAAAGGATCAAAAAATATTTTTACACGATTGTATCTGATGGCCTTACATGTATCAAATATAATTAATGACAATTACTTTTCCAAATGCACTTTCGCTGATTGTCACAATCCACCATTTTTTTATTGCCCTCTATAATGAGAAGATTTTAAGACTTATTAAAAAAAGACAAAGGCTAGTGTGAGGGAAAACTAACAGTGAAGAAGACAGCAAAAGAACCACCCAAAACCCAATAAACATTTCTTAAGAAAACTAAATAACTGGGGCTGGGAAGGTGGCTCAGTGGTAGAGCGCTTGCCTTGCATGCCTCATGAGGGCCCTGGGTTCGATTCCTCAACACCACATAAGCAAAAAGCCAGAAGTGGCGCTGTGGCTCAAGTGGTAGAGCACTGGCCTTGAGCTGAAGAGCTGAGGGACAGCGACAAGGCCCAGAGTTCAGGCCCCACGACCGGACCCCCCCCCCAAAAAGAAAACTAAATAATACCAGTAATTCACATTAGGATAAGGATCCAAAGTCACATTCTCCACCGTTCTCTTTTAATTTACCACAATAACTTACATGCAGAATAGGAGAGAACTTAAGTAGGTACCATCACAATGGTAAGGAAGATAAACTTTCAAAACTTCTTACAAAAACAGAGCATGTGGCACTCTTTTGCTACTTTTTTTTTGGGGGGGGAGTGGAGGGGTTAAGGTTTTTCACTCAAGGCTGGAGCTCTACCACCTGAGTTACACCTCCACTTCCGGCTGGTTGCTGGTTACGGGTTGACTTCAAACCGCAATCCTCAGGTTTCAGCTTCCTGAGAAGCAGGGGTTGTAGGCGTGAGCCACCAGCGCCTGCTACGTTAATCTTAAATTGAGGAGAAAGCCACATTCGAAAAATACATACTAAGTACGGTGAAAGTGTTCATCAAAGCCAAGGTTTTCAATGACCCCATTATGTTCTTTAGCTCAGAGTTTCTGTCTCCCCCTCTTTCTGGACACTTTGCAGAAGGGAGTTGGGGGGAGGGCGGGTGGAAAGTACAAGGTGAGTGGATAAGGGAAGACCTCAGGATGGAGGTTAGCTTACTTTCGTGCTTGGTCCTGCAGCGACAACGAACAGAGGCTGTGGAGCACCGCCTCTCTGGAAAAGGCTGCAGCCGGGGTGGGTGGATAGAGAGTCAGCATACAATCTGTGTCTGGTACCCACAACAGAAGGCTATGTTTTCCCGTTCACCTAGCACACCGCTGCTCCCCAGGCAGCCTGAATGTCCAAACGTGCGCATGCGCGCGCCCTCACACACGCCAGAACGCGCGCATGCACAGAGCCCTCGCCAACAGACGGCCGAGCTTCCCTTCCCCTCACAGAACTGACGTACTAAACCAGCGCCGGGCCAACCGGAAGAGGGCGGAACGCGCCTACAACCCTTCGAGCGTTTTTACTCGCTAGGTGTCCCAGTCACTATTTAGAAAGAATAATCATGACGCCTACAGCCTTTCCCCAAAGAGCAAAATACCAACCACAGCGCTGGCTAAGCGGGCCACGGCCCACCGGGGCTAGAGCCCGACCTCCATCTTAGCGGCCTCTCCACAAAGTCCTGTTTCCTCTAGAAAAGCGCGCGAGACTTTGCGAGAGTATAACGGCCCCGCCCCTACCTGTCAGAGAAATCCGTGGCAAGTGGCTCTCTCGGACCCCAAGGTAACGCCAGAATGGAAATCTCGCGAGACTTTGCACTTGGGTCGCGCACACTCATTGTACCGGCGGTTGTGGAGCTCGCTGGTCGGTGGTGGGGCCTGCCCCGCGTCCTGTCCGGTTGGTTACCCGTCCGTTCCTTGTCCTTGTTCGGCTCCTGCTGGCCGGAAAGGCGGAACTGAGTCACCGAGTGTCTAGGCTGGGACACGCTGACGGCCGAGAGCAGAGTAAGTGAGCCCAGCCGCGAGCCGCGGCGCTCTACTTCTTGAGCCACAGCTCCACTTCTGGTTTTTGGGGTTAATTGATGACAAGCGGCCCTAGGACTTGACTTCCCTGGCTGACTTCAGCCCGCTGTCCTCCGATATCAGTCCTCCCCCCCCCCCCCCCCGTCCCCTGTAGCTTGGATTACAGGCGTGAGCCACTGCGCCTGTAGGACTTTTCTCACTTAAGAAACGTTTCAGATGGCACATCTAAATTGAAACATGGTCGTCTAATAATTTAAGACGATATGAGTTCCTTGGACGTCCCTGTCTTTCCCCTCCCCGTCTCTTAAAAAGCTGACATTCTGAGTTTATTGAAAACTACACATAAGCTTCGAATATGCACTTAGTGTTTTTTAAATTACCTATTTTATATGTTTTAAGTAAGGGGAAATTTATATTTTGTACAGAGATATACTGGATTATGTTGAGGCTTAAAACAATCCACACACCATAAGTATTGTTTTTCATGCAAATAAAATTTTTAGTGTATTCTGTTTACAGAATCCACATTACTGCCAGATCACATTTAAGATTTTCTTAATTCATCTGGGCGATAAATACTCAAAACTATGCCATTAAAAGAAGAGATGAGGAGGAGGAAAGAAGAAAGAAAACTCTGTCACCTCTCAGCTCCTAGCAGTTGGAATTTCCTTTCTTCTGAGCTCAGCCTTCTGATCCTTTTGAGAAAGTCTTAGTCCTAACATCCTCTACACGTACCTTTCAGATTCATTTCTGCTTTATCCATCTGGAAGCTCATCCTGACATTCCTTATGCACTCCGCCTTTTCATTTGGCTATTTTCGTGTATCAGTTAATACTATCTAATTAACATTGGCACCAGCTTGAAAAATATAAAACGTTAAACTGAACTAGATCACTAACATCTACAGACACATTTGTGTTATATCAGAAGTCACAGTATTTTGTGTAGATCCCAGTAGTAGGACATGGATTTGTGGACAACAGAAATTTTCACAAGAATCTAAAAGTAAACAGCTGGAACAATTGCTAACAGAGTGGGTGGTGGCTTTTCTTTTATAAGCAGCAGAATGTTCCCTCTGCCAGATGTCTGCATGGCAGAGTGGGAGAGGATGAGGCTTAATAGGGTGTTGTTACAGGTGGCAGGCACAAGACAGAATGCGTGGTTGGTTGGTTTTGTTTTTAATTGCTGTCTGTAGTACACAATGTAAGCAAATCATGACAAATTGCAAGCACAATTATGAAAATGAGCCAATAAATTGAAAATACTGTATTACTATGATCTGTTTTTTAAAATTTGAACACGTTAAGACTTTGCAAGACAATTATACTTTAAGCTACCTTTTATTTATAATTCCTTTCCCTGAATAGATAAGCGTATTAACTACAAAGTAAAAATTTAAATGTAGTTCATTTTCTTTGTGTAACCTTGAGAATTAATTGTACAAAGAGATACAATTCCATATTTTAAGTATATCTTAACTTGTAATGTTAAAGCCTATCAGAAAATATTCATTGCTTAATTGTAATGCTTAGATAAAATGATTGATTGCAAGCTTTCTTATTAGATGGAAAAATATTTTTAATTGCTCTTCGTAATAGATTTCCATTATGGCTTGAGATTATTTTTTTAATATCTTGGAAATTCCTTTGTTTGGTAGGATCGGGTAATTTTGTTTCTCCCCACCTTTGCATTTTGTAGTTATCACTATATAGATCCTGCCTGCACTCTGTTCATTTATGCCCAAGAGTTTCATTTTGACTGTTGCAAATGAGTTTTTTTTTTAAGTTTTGGTTTCCACTTGTTCATTGCTAGGTTATAGGAACAAAATTGGTTATTTTCCTTTGTCTGTGGAACTGCTAAAATCGAGTATTCTAGAATTTTTTTCCCTTTGGATTTTTATTTTTCCAGTTCCAAGAATTGAACTGAGAACTTCACAAATGCTAGGCAAATGCTCTCACATTTGAGTCACTTCAGTAGCACTTTTGTCCTTTTGTTTTATGTTTTATTGTTGAGATAGGATCTCACTAACTTTGCACAGACTAGTCTCAAGTTCTCCCTCTTCCTTCCTCTACAACCTTAATAGCTAGGATTACACAAAATAACCCCAAGCCTTTTCCTTTGGGGATTTTTCTAATGCAACAATTTGTATAGTTAAGTGTTTTCTTTGATGAACTACAGTTATTGTAGGCTTACAGCCTTAAATTCTGGATGAACCCATACTTGATCATGGTGTTTGTTTGTTTGTTTAACATATGGCCAAATTTGAGTTGCTCATATTGAGGATTTTTGCTTTTGTATTTATGAAGGATATTGATTTAATTATTTTTATTACTTTGGAGTGGTTTTGGTATCAGTGTTAAGCTATATTATTTTATGACTGAATTCATTATTCTTTTCATGAAGAGATTATGTAATACTAGTTCTTTTTTTTTTTTTTTGGTTGGCCGTGGGGCTTGAACTCTGGGCCTGGGCATTTTCCCTCAGCTCTTCAGCTCAAGGCGAGCGCTCTACCACTTGAGCTACAGCGCCACTTCCGGTTTTCTGGTGGTTTTTATTGGAGATAGGAGTCTCACGGTCTCTCCTGCCCGGGCTGGCTTTGAACCGAGATCCTCAGATCTCAGCCTCCTGAGTAGCTAGGATTACAGGCGTGAGCCACCAGCGCCAGCTTGTAATACTAGTTCTTTAAATGTGTATTCGAATTTGCCATTGAAATTATATGGTACAGAGAATTTTTTTGTAGTTTCTCCAAATCAATTTCTGAAATATAGGAATTATAGGATGCGTATATAGTTATGTAATTCAAATAGCTATAATTAATACTTACAAAACTATTCATAGTCATCCCTTTCTTGTGTGACTTTAGGTAATTTGTGGATTTTGTGGAATTAATTTACTTCTCCACATTATCCAGTTCATGTGAGGAAGATTTATTAATGTATTCTCTTAAACTTAGAATGAATTAGGAGCCTGCAATTATTTCTTTTATTCTTTTTGTGTTTTGTTTTGTTTTATTTGCCAGTCCTGGGGCTTGAACTCGGATCTAAGCACTATCCCTGAGCCTCTCTGTGCTCAAGGGTAGCACTCTGCCACTTGAGCCACAGCGCCGCTTAAGGCTTTTTCTGTTTATGTGGTACTGAGGAATCAAACCCAGGGCTTCATGCAGGCTATGCAAGCACTCTAACACTAAGCCATATTCCCAGCCCCTGTTTTGTTTTATTTTGTAACATGTCTTTCTATGTAGCCCAAGCTTGGCTGGAACTTAAAATCCTCCTGCCTCTGAGAAAATCGGCTTCTACTATTGTGCCTGGTTCTTCTTGTGCTCATCTTGTCTTCTTCCTCTACTCCCTTTTCTTGGTCATTGTGTGTGTGTGCGTGTGTGTGTGTGTGTGTGTACAGGTGCGGTGCATCCACAACTCCTGAAACTTGAACTCAGGGCCTGGTTGCTGACCCTGGGCTCTTTTGCTCAAGGCTAGTGCCTTACCTCTTAACCACAGTACTGCTTCCAGTTTTTGAGTGGTTAATTGGTGATAAGAGTCTCCGGAACTTTTCTGCCCATTGTGGCTTCAAACCTCCATCCTCAGACCTCACCCTCCTCAGTAGCTAGGATAACAGGCGTGAGCCACAGGTGCCTGGCTTTATTGATCTGTTTAAAGAATTTTGTTTTGTTTGGCCAGTCGTGGAGCCTGAACTCTGGGCCTGGGCACTGTCCCTCAGCTCTTCAGCTTAAAGCTAACGCTCTACCACTTGAGCCACAGCACCATTTCTGACTTTTTCTGTTTATGTGGTGCTGAGGAATCGAACCCAGGGCCTCATATATGTAAGGCAAGCGCTCTACCACTGAGCCACCTTCCCAGCCCAAAGAATTTTTTTTTAATCATAGTTTTTCTATGTTGTCTTCCTATTTTATTGTTCACTGGTTTAATCTTGCTGCTTGCTTTTTGTCACTTGCTTCTATTTACTTTGATTTTTTTTCCTTTTCTAGTTTCTAAAGGTTGAGGTAGCACCTGATTCAATTCCATTGTAATCAGAAAATAAAATTTACATAATTGCAATTCTTTCACATTTATTAAGGTTTGTTTTGTGATCTGTCCTAGTGAGTACACTTCAAAATAGTGTCCTGAGTACACTTCAAAATAATGTGTATGTTAGTTCCCCCTTACCTGTGAGGCAATATGTTCTAAGACCCCTAATGAATTCAGAAAAACACAAATATTATATATAATGTTCTCCTTGTACATGCATGCCTATAATGGATTAACTTCAAATCAACTACAGTACAACAGTAGTAACAACACAAGTAATAAAATAGAAAATAATTATAACTGTAATGAAACTTATGTGAATATAATCTTTCTCAAAATAACCTTTTTTTTATGTTTTAGTATTTGTGGCTTCTTCACCTGCCTGTCATACCATGCAGTGTTTCTTCACACTAGAATTTTATCTTTCCTTCCATGTTTTACACTTTGGTTCCTCATTTGCTCTTTTATAAGCATACGTTCTATGAGTATCTTCTCAGAAAAGCTTGGTTTCCTTTCAGTTAACAACTTGCTTAAATGATAGTCTTTCTCCTTAACTAGCCTTCAGCCTTGCTGGAAATGTGACCTCAGCTTCCTCATCATCCTATACAAGCTCTCTAGGAATTTCAGGTTAAACCTATTCCTGGATCTGTGTAATCATCCCTTACTTTCAAGAAATGGCTTGGGGTCATATATTTCAGGAGATCTCTTGCTAAAGTCTTCCCTTTGGTTCTCTGCTTTCTGGCACATAATGTTGTTATCCATTAGAACATATTTTTCTTCTGCTCACAGATTCTTCCACCTATATAATATCTTGACACTGTTTTCCTTTGGTAGGAGGATTAAAAAGCAAGTTTTTTATTTCATTCTTTTATTTTTTGGTGGTGATAAGATTCAAATGCAGAGCATCCTGTAGACCCCTGAGATGTACCACCAGGGATTTCTTTTTCCTTAATTTATTTGTTTATTTTGGTGCTGGTACTGAGACTTACACTCAGAGCCTGAGTGCCTTAGCTTTTTTTGCTCAGTGCGGGCACTCTACCACTTGAGTCACACTCCACATTCAGCTTTTCAGTAGTTAATTGGAGATAACAGTCTCATGGACTTGGTCCTGCCTGCTCTGGCTTTGAACCTCAGTCCTCAGACTCAGCCTCCTGAGTAGTTAAGATTACAGATGGGAGCCACCACCAGCACCAAGCATATACAAGTGTCTGTAATGTTTGTAGTTTGAACAACAACAGGAAAACTAACAAATTTATTTTTAGTTCTTCTCAACTTCATGGAGTGAACATTCATTTTTACTATAGGTCTTAGCAACCTTGATACACCGTTATTTTTTCCCTATTGCCCTGAGTCTCTTTTCACTTCAAGTACCTTATGGTTTCTCTTTGGCATATCCAACCTGCCAGCATCATTGCTGTTGGTCATTGGAGACATGATTACATAAAGTATGGCTTGTTGAACCAGGCACTGTGCAATGGACAGTCTGATAACTTCTATGGTGGCTAAGGGACTATGTGGTGGGGAACAAGACCAATGTGGATTCATTTCCTGATCAGGAGTAGGTGTAGATGTCCAGTTGTGTTCGTGCTCCTCAGAATAGCATGCGGTCCAGAATTTATGAGTTTGCTTACTTCTAGCACTTTCCACTTGATAGTTTGGAAATGATACGTAGTAAAACCACAGGTTCCTTACTGCTGTTGCTGGTTGTAGCATTTTATAAGTATCAATTGAACACCTCAGTAGGTGGTTTCCTCTCTCTATCCTTGCTGATTTTCTGTGGAGTTAATTCCTAACATGCTGAAGTATGTGGATCTGTATATTTATTATTTTAGTTCTTTCAGCTATTTTGTGTGTGTGTGTGTGTGTGTGTGTGTGTGTGTGTGTGTGTGTATACCAGGGCTTGACCTCAGGGGCCTTTTTTTGCTTAAGACTGGCACTCTGTCACTTGAGCCTCAGCACTACTTCCAATTTTCTGGAAGTTAATTGGGATTAAGAGTTTTATAGACTTTCCTATCCAGACTGGCATTGAACTATGATCCTCAGATCTCAGCCTCCAGAGTAGCTAGGATTATAGGTATCAGTCACCTGTGTCTAGCTAGATTTATTTAATCTCCTCCCTCCAATTTGGTTTTGGTACTATAATTTTTATTGTTGCAAAATACCAGTATATTATTTCTTTTTTTTTTTCCCTCATTTAACTTTGTTTTAACTCATTTAACTTTTGTCTCAAAATTCTGTGACAGAGTTTTGGTCATGTTTCCATTAAAAAAGTACTGATTTGGGGCTGGGAAGGTGGCTCAGTGGTAGAGTGCTTGCCTTGCATGCCTGAGGCCCTGGGTTCAATTCCTCAGCACCACATAAGCAAAAAGAAAAAAGCTGGAAGTGGCCCTGTAGCTCAAGTGGTAGAGTGCTAGCCTTGAGCTGAAGAGTTGAGGGACAGTGCCCAGGCCCTGAGGTCAGGCCCCACGACCTGACCCCCCCCCCCAAAAAAAGTACTGATTTTTAAAAACTAATAACGTAAAACTGCCACACACACAAAAATGGTCCACAAAACATTTTCCTTTCCTTCTGAAAGTTTTACAATGCACTGTTATCATTAACCAGTCTTTTACTATTAAACTTAAATGGCCAATTGAGATAAACAGTTCTGAGACCTTTCTTCCACCATCAGTTAAGACTGAAGTGTCAGGTGTTGGGGGTAATATTCATTTAGCCTTCTGAGCTTTCTGGGCAGACTTGGTGACCTTGCCAGCTCCGGCAGCCTTCTTGTCCACAGCTTTGATGATGCCCACAGCAATTGTTTGCCTCATATTACGAACAGCAAAATGACCCAGAGGAGGATAGTCAGAGAAGCTCTCCACACACATTGGCTTGCCAGGAACCATGTCAACAATGGCAGCATCATCAGACTTCAGGAATTTAGGGCCATCCTCCAGCTTCTTACTAGAATGGCGATCAGTTTTCTCTTTCAGCTCAGCAAACTTGCAAGCAATGTGAGCAGTGTGACAATCCAGCACAGGGGCATAGCCAGCACTGATTTGGCCTGGATGGTTCAGGATGATCACCTGAGCAGCGAAGCCAGCTCCCTCCATGGGGGGATCATTCTTGCTGTCACCAGCAACATTGCTCGATGAACATCTTTGACTGACACATTCTTGACGTTGAATCCCACATTGTCCCCAGGAAGAGCTTCACTCAAAGCTTCGTGATGCATTTCAACAGACTTTACTTCAATTGTGACATTTGACAGGAACAAAGGTGACCACCATGCCAGGTTTGAGAACACCAGTCTCCACTTGGCCCATAGGGTCGGTTCCAGTACCACCAATTTTGTACACATCCTGAAGGGGCAGGCGCAAAGGCTTGTCAGTGGGACGAGTTGGTGGTAGGATGCAATCCAAAGCCTTGAGCAAGGTGGTACCACTGGCACTGCCGCCTTTACAGGTGACTTTCCATCCCTTGAACCAAGGCATATTGGCACTTGGCTCCAGCATGTTATCACCATTCAAGCCAGAAATTGGCACAAATGCTACTGTGTCAGGGTTGTAGCCAATTTTCTTAATGTAGGTGCAGACTTCTTTGACGATTTCATTGTATCTCTTCTGGCTGTAGGGTGGCTCAGTGGAATGCATTTTGTTAACACCAACAATGAGCTGTTTCACACTCAGTATGTAAGCCAGAAGGGCATACTCACGCGTCTGCCCATTCTTGGAGATACCAGTTTCAAATTCACCAACACCAGCAGCAACAATAAGGACAGCACAGTCAGCCTGGGATGTGCCTGTAATCATATTCTTGATAAAGTCTCTGTGTCCTGAGGCATTGATCATAGTCACATAATACTTGCTGGTCTCAAATTTCCACAGGGAGGTATCAATGCTGATACTACGCTCATGCTCAGCCTTCAGTTTATCCAAGACCCAGGCCTACTTGAAGGAACCCTTTCCCATCTCAGCAGCCTTCTTCTCGAACTTCTCAATGGTTCTCTTGTTGATGCCACCACATTTGTAGATCAGATGCCCGGTAGTGGTGGACTTGCCGGAATCGACGTGTCCAATGACGACAATGTTGAGATGGGTCTTCTCCTTTCCCATTTTGGCCTCGACTTAGTGGTGGTTTTCATGGCACATGCGTTCTGATGGCAAACCCATTGCAAAAAACCTCAGGATATTATTTCTATACATGCATACAACATGCATTGTCAGGGCGCACTTTTCCACACCCTGTTCCTCCACAAACCCTTCCCGGTTTCTTTTTATTGTTGTTCCAGTCCTGGGGCTTGAACTCAGGACATGGGTATTATGGGTATTGTCCCTAAGGTTTTCTGCTCAAGGCTAGCGCTCTACCACTTTGAGCCACAGTACCACTTCTGGTTTTCTAGTGGTTAATTGGAGACAGAGTCTCATGGACTTTCCTACCTGAGCTGGCTTTGAACTGAGATCCTCAGATCTCAGCCTCACTTTACAGAAAGTCCTTCATTTTCATCCATTGTACAAATGTTAGAATTTTACTCTTTACGACTGAGTAATATTTGTGTGTGTGTGCGTGTGTGTGTGTGTGTGTGTGTGTGTGTGTGTGTGTGTGTGTGTGTTAGTTTCTGAGTCCAGCTTTCTGGTTAAACTGGGAGTGGAGTCTCACAGACTTTTCTGTTCAAGCTGGCTTTAAGCTGTGATCCTCTAGGTTATAGCCTCCTGAATAGCTAGTATTATGGATATGAGCCAGCTAGCACCAAAGAATAATGCTTCTTTTTTTTTTTTTTTTTTTTGGTACCAATCCTGGCCTGTGTACTTACCGAGCTTTTCCTTGCACCAGGCTATGCTCTACCTCTTAAGCCACAGCTCCATTTTCAGCTTTTTAGTGGCTAATTAGAAATAAGTCCCAGGGCTGGGAAGGTGACTCAGTGGCAGAGTGCTTGCCTTGCATGCATGAGGCCCTTGGTTCTATTCAACACATAAGCAGTAAAAGCCGGAAGCGGGGCTGAGGCTCAAGTGGTAGCGCGCTAGTCTACAGTTGAAGAGCTGAGGGACAGTGCCAAGGCCCAGAGTTCAGGCCCCACGACTGACAAAAAAGAAAGAAAGGAAGGAGGAAGAAAGAAAGAAAAAAGTCTTTCAGATTTGTCTGCTTGAGCTGGCTTCAAACCATGATCCCCAGACCTCAGCCTCCTGAATAGCTAGGATTATAGGTCCAGCCTATAATGCATTGTTGTATAAGTTTCTGCAAGAGAAGGTTGAGACTTTGACATAGCATGATAAAGGTACTTTAGCTGATCAGTAGTATGCATTCTCAAGAAGCCTCATAGATCACTTGACAGCCAAGGCTAGGGGAGTTCATCCTGTCAGATTTATCTTAATGTTTGTCTTCACCCAACAAGCAAGCCTGCAGGGTTTTGTTGGGTGTCTCCCCCAACAGTGAACAACCTTATAACACATGAAGTCTAAGAGACATTTTAATTGACATAGAACTAAAATAAAGTGATAGACTGACTTTATTTTGAATCTTGATTTTAATTTTAATTGTAGATACTTCTTTGGAAATGAGTTGCACAATTGAGAAGGCACTTGCTGATGCTAAAGCCCTGGTGGAAAGGTTGAGAGACCATGATGACGCAGCAGAGTCTCTGATCGAACAGACCACAGCTCTCAACAAGCGAGTAGAAGCAATGAAGCAGGTTTGGCTTGTTCCTCGTGTGTCTATTCTTTCTCTTTTCCCTCCCTCTCTCCTTTCCTCCCTTTTTCCCTTCCTCAAGGCCTAGCACTCACTTGGCTTTTTCTCTCAAGGCTGGTACTTTTATCACTTGAGCCACACCTCCACTTCCAGCTTTTTGGTAATTAACTGGAGATAAGAGTCTTTGTAAGTTTTACTTGAGAATATCATTTTGCTATGTTCAGGGTGACACATGTTTGTATATAGATACAAAAATCTATAGATTTGATTACCTTTCTGACAGATGCACACTGAAGTTTAGAAAATAAGTGAAGTTTTTAGGTCTTAGATGCGTTTCATAAAGACCACATGATTTTTTTTTTATGTTGATACTCATTTTGCTGTATTTTCTTACTTGTTTTTTGGCACCATCTCTGAGCTTTTTGTGCTCAAGGCTAGCACTAGCACTTTGAGCCACATTCCACTTCTGTTTTTCTGGTGGCTAATTGGAGATAAGAGTATCACAGTCTTTCCTTCCCCAACTGGATTTTAACTGAGATACTCAGATCTCAGCCTCCTGAGTAGCTATGATTACAGGCATGAGCCACCAGTACCCAGCTATGCTGTATCTTTTATAATGTACAAATGTTTAATTTTTGTTTTTATTTTAATAGAAGTACGTAGATGATGCTATTTAACAACTAAATAGTTTTTGAAAATGTGAGTAGTTATTACATTCTTATTTTCTAGCTTATTTTTCATGTAATGCTTCCAGTTACAAAAGAAATGAGATTTTTGCTTCTTGCTGTGTCTGTCATATATAACAAGACCTTCCAGTGAACCATGGAGTACAGCTGCCATTTTAAGCTGTCCTCTGGTAAAAATTTTCAACTCAAAAGAAATCTAATCTCTTGTAATATCAGTAATTAGAAAGGAAAATGTATTTTCCAACTTTATTAGAGCACATTTGTAGAAGGAAGCAAGCATGGAATCCCACTCTTGACAAAGCTACTGAAAATAGCAACGCAAGTTCACCCATTCTGTTTCACAGCTGGGTTGCTGTAAACAGATTTCATTCTATAACTGTCCAGCCTGACTCAGGTGCTTCCCTAAACTTTTGCCTGATATTGACTAGTTTAAAAAAAGAAGGAGTGAGACATCTGAAGTTAAGAGCCAAGAGTATTGGAATAAATTCATTGCTAAGTGTTTCATAAGAATGCCTTGAAGGGGCTGGGAAGTTGGCTCAGTGGTAGAGTGCTTGTCTCGCAGGCATGAGGCCCTGGGTTTGATTCCTCAGCACCACATAAGCAGAAAAAAGCCGGAAGTAGTGCTGTGGCTCAAGTGGTAAAGCGCTAGCCTTGACCTGAAGAGCTGAGGGACAGCGTCCAGGCCCAGAGTTCAGCCCACACAACCGGATCAAAAAAAAAAAGAATGCCTTGAAGTAAATGAGGATAATTATAAAGTTAGAATCTCACCTTTAAAAGCAAAATCTTCAGGGCTGGGAAGGTGGCTCAGTGGTAGAGTGCTTGCTTTACATGCATGAGGCCCTGGGTTCGATTCCTCAGCACCACATAAGCAGAAAAAGCCAGAAGTGGCACTGTGACTCAAGTGGTAGAGGGCTAGCCTTGAGCTGAAGAGCTCAGGGACAGCACCCAGGCCCAGAGTTTAAGCCCCACAACTGGAAAAAATAAAATCATCTTACATTTCTTTTGTATAAGCTTTATATCACTTACTATCATTGTTACATCATTCACATATACTAAAAAGTCACCAACTCCTAAAGTTTGGAAGCATGCAGGTCATTGGATTCTAATATATTGATAGACAGTACAACTAGATACTTTCTTTTTTTCCCCTTTTTTTAAGTCTTTTATGTATTTTTTTTTAATTTTATTGTCAAGGTGATGTGTAGAGGGGTTACAGTTACACACATAAGGTAGTGAGTACATTTATTGTCCAACTTGTTGCTCCCTCCCTCATTTTTCTCCCACTTTCCCCCCAAGTTCCTCCCCAAATTGTACAGTTCATTTCCAACATATTGTTACGTGAGTATTGCTGTTGCATTGGTTCACGCTTTGTCTCACCATTTTGTTGTTCCCCTTTCTTTCCCTAATTCAGATAAATGTATATACAATACCCAGGGTACCAAAATCAAATACAGTGAGAACAGAGGATACACCATAGGGGAAAAAAAGACCAAAAACACACAAACCAGATACCTTGATCACCCCAAACCTCCCTTCTTACTAGTTTAATTTTACCTGCCTAACCCCAACCCTACTTATCTGTCTCTGAGTTTGCCTATTCTGGATATTTTATATAAATGAAATGATACAGTAAGTGGCTTTTAGTAATTACTGCTTAACAGTGTTTTCATGATCTATTTATGCTGTAGCATGTATCACTCCTTTATTCCTATTTGTATCCAGTGATATTTGCTATGAATATCTGTAAACAAGTTTTTGGGTAGAAATATGTTTTCATTTCTCCTTATGTTTAATTTTTTGAGGGGCTGTTCATATTTTTTTTACATGTCAAATATAAGTTCGTAAATATTTCCTCCCCACAATGTTATTTTTCAATCTTCTCATTAGTACCAGGAAGAAATTCAAGAACTTAATGAAGTTGCAAGGCATCGACCTAGGTCCACGTTAGTTATGGGAATCCAGCAAGAAAACAGACAAATCAGAGAACTGCAACAAGAGAACAAAGGCAAGACCAATGGCCACTATGTGTAGAAGCTGCAGAGACTTTAATCCCTAGTTGTGGTATTGGAGGGAATAGTTTGCTTCCCAAATAGGAAAAGAGCCAACTTAAGGGTTTTAATCTTTTTTGCCTTAATCATATTTATTGCAATTTATATACTGTCTTATGTGGTTGGCATCATTTCAAATTCTCATTACTTTTTTTGCCTATGAATTACACAAACTTCATTGCCTGAAGTCCTACTGCTTGGGGTACTAGCTCAGTGCTTACCCTGTATTTGTTCTCTCCATTAGACTCTAAATTCTATGACCTTTGGCTAGATATAGATATGTATGTATTTTTGTACTGGTACTGAGTTGGCATGGGCACTGTCTCTTAGCTTTTTCTCTCAAGGCTAATGCTCTATGATTTGAGTCACAGTTTCACTTCTGACCCTTTAGTGGTTAACTGGAGATAAGAGTCTCATGGATTTTTATATGTGGGCTGGCTACATATGGAGACCCTCATATCTGTCTCCTGAGTAGATAGATGGGTTTCAGACGTGACCTACCAGCACCTGTCTATGGGTAGATATTTATCTTTTTTTTTCCTTCTAAGTTGTCAGTTGATATTTGTATAATGTAATATGGAAGATATTTTATATATGCTTAACTCAAGTTTGAGTACAATAAACTTATTTTTGATAGAATTACGTACATCCTTGGAAGAGCATCAGTCCGCCTTGGAACTTATAATGAGCAAGTACCGAGAACAGATGTTTAGACTGCTAATGGCTAGCAAAAGAGATGATCCTGGGATAATAATGAAGTTAAAAGAGCAGCATTCCAAGGTAATCCATTCCATAGTGGGGCTTCAGATGGAATAGAGGGACAAGTATGGGATTTAGAGTTTTTAAAAATCACAGATTTGCATTAACACACTTTAATAATATTAAATACTGCATCTTTTTCCTTGACATATTCTGCTTTTTCTTTTTCTAATTCTTCATTATATATCATTTTCTGTAGGATTGGTTCTAATGATGAAAGCATTGTTTCCTGGTTGTGTGTGTGTGTGTGTGTGTGTGTGTGTGTGTGTGTGTGTAGGT